ATGTATGTCTACGTTACTTGCATCCTTTGGTTACTAAAACCCTTTATGAACACACAGTTCATACTGTCAGTGTACATATAGAATTGGGTGGGATGAAACCCTCTTTTAATGGTCACACAGCACACATAGTGACATGTGTTCTCTGCTTTTAACCCATCCTAGCACCAGGAGCAGTGGGCAGCTATTGTACAGCGCCAGGGGATCAATGGGAGTGAGGGGGGAAGACGGGTGTCTGGTGCCTTGCTCAAGCGCACCACGGCAGGGCAGGAGGTGAACTGGGACCTCTCCAAGTAGAAGTCCACACTCCATATTTAGGTCTGGTCGGGGACTTGAACCGGCGACCCTACAGCTCCCAGTCCAAGCCCCTACTGACTGAGCCACACCGGATATGCACATTAACATTGCATTGTATCTCGTTGCACTGCCATCGCTACGACCTCTGCTTCTACCACTCGTATTTATTCATTTATTTATTTGTGTCTATTTGTTACTGCAGTGAGAGTTGCCAAAGAAATGTCGTTGTACTTTGTATGATGACAATGAAGATATATTCTGTTCTTCTCACCTGTTTTAACCGCTTCGGGCTTTGGTCTCCGCTGAGGAAGATGAGGATGAAGATGAGGCTCCGTCTGAATCATCTCCAGAACTTTCTTCCTCCTCTCCTCCTCCTCCGTTAAAGTTACATCTCCTCCACTCGTCTCTTTTAAGTCTTTTTCTTTCGCCACCTCAGCTCCACCCGACCCCCCACTGTTAGCCGACCCACTCTCTTCCCTCTCGTTGTTTTTCACACTTCCCACCACCACCGTTTTCTGACTCGTTGTCATAGGAACGGTGGGTTTTCCCTCTAATCTTGGAGGGTGTGTTGGTGTTTCGGGTGGAGACGGGGCGTCTGACTGAAGGTGCATTATCTGCCTCCTCTCCATTGGATCTCCTTTATTATGATTAGCTCCACCTTCCTCTCCGCTCCCGATGGAGGTGACGCTCCGGGCTTCAGACGCCCGACCCTCTACCTCCATTTTAGGGTGAACTGGTGTCCAATGCACCAGCTGGGTGTAGCCGCCATGTTGCCACTGCCTCCCCTCCCCCACCAGGGGCTTCTTGATGTGATGCTGGTTGTGTTTCAGGTCGTCGTGACGGTGCAAATCTGCTTTGGAGGCGTGAGTTTTTGGGGGAGATGGGTTGTGAAGGTGGGGAAGGTGGGAGGAAGGAGTTGGGAGAGGAAGAGGAGGAGGAGGTGGAGGAGGATGGTTGATGTGACTGGAGGAGGAGGAGGTAGAGGAGGGAATTTGGCACCGGCAGCTGACGTGGTCCTCCACTGAGATGATGGCCCTCTCGTAATGGTCCTTCCTCTTCACAAACATGATCTTCAACACCTGGAGAAGAGGCGGGGAAAGAGACGTTAGTTGACGCCAATGATAATGTTTTTAAACAGCTTCTGGAAAGTGTTTGACCCTGAAGCCATCTTTAATATATATAAACATTCACATGATCATTTGGTCTGATTGGATGATGAAGAGGCGGGGAAAGACACATTAGCTAAATCAAACATGAATATATATACACACACACACACTCAAACACACACACACACACACACTCAACACACACACACACACACACACACACACACACACACACACACACACACACACACACACACACACACACACACACACACACACACACAGTCAGCCATCGGGAGAAACTTGCCCAAGGACACATCAACTTGTGTATCCATCTTTTATATATATGTTCACATTTCATTTTTTTAAAGTATTTGGATGGATTGGATGTTCATCTTAATCGTGATCGTTTATTAGCACCACATTAGCATTAGTTATCTTCCTGGGTTTCACACACACCAAGTCAAACACACAAAAAACAAACAAACAAACGACATTGATTGCACATCTCTCCGTCCTGGGAGAAGGAGCCCTTTTTCTGTTTCCTACCTCAAGTCAATTCAATATTGTTTTTTCTAGTCTTTATTTGGGCGAATTTTTCCTGCGAGGGTCTGCGGACAGAGGACGTTTCACACACTGTTAACCCCCTGATACTAATATGTTTGTATTATTGGACTAGATCCATTAAATGTGATCCTTGATGAAGCGCAGACTTGGTAGAAATCCCACTTAAACTATGCAAACTCCACCAAATGAATGTGTATTAGCATTGAAGCATGCAGCGACAAGCAGCGGAGCTTCTGATTGGTTAAAGGCATTTCCAGACAAGCAGTTAATTGCATGATATTCGGCTGATCCATGCCAAGATGTTTTTTACAACAGGTTCTGCTTATTAGGCTGCAACCCAAGCATGCAAATCATCCCCTGAAGCCATTAAACAATACACGAAAACACACTCAGAGCTTCATGAAGATCTGAGCCTCTGCAGATTACACCTGACGATAACAAGGCCTTCATTGATGTCACAATGTTCATGACATGTTTGCAAAATTAGGATTAACGCTTGCATCATTAGCCTGTTAGCTTAGCCTAGCAGA